TAAGGAGGCTTAAGTGTTACATTTGTGGACTTAACTTGTGTTACAATTTAGGTGGGCTTAGATGTCATGTTTGTGGACTTGACTTGTGTTACCTTCTAGGTAATTCGATTGTGGTGTTTGAAGTCTTAACTTGTGTTAACGTGTAGGTAACTCCGATGTCATGTTTGTAGATTTATGATGTCATTTAGGTAACTTATGGTGTCACGTTTGTGAGTTTTTTTTACCGTCTAGGTAACTTAAGTGTCACTTTTCTAGACTCTAAAATTTATTGTAAAAACTAATAATGAAAAAATATATGAAATAATATTAATAAATATAACAACTTATTATTTATATGCTAAATTAATATAATAATAATAATGTAATATTTTACCTAGTTAATAATATATTTTGTTGATATATGATATTATTAAATATTATGACATAATCAAACTACTGAAATTTAGTTACATATTTTTTTATTAATATATGATAATTATACCAACAATTATTTATTATAATATTATTTAATCACTTTAAGTTAATAATGTTAATCAAAATCTTTAATACCGCATATTTATCTTTCAAAGATTCGTCACTAAATCAAATAAGTTTTTGCTTAACATACGAAATTAAATTATATACAAATAAAACCCTTCTAATTAAAAGTTTTGATAGAACACTTACTAACCTAATTTCGTTTTTAGTAATAACATAATATATGTTAACACATTTTTTTGACATGTAAAAGGAAAGATAACATCTAACTATCCAAAAAAACACGAAAAAACTTACTTTAAACACAAAATTGACTAATATGTTATGTTTTCCTCTTTTATAGGATTGTTTGAAAAACTTAACTCTTACACAAATGTGTTTAAAATATAGTTTGAATAGTTAAAATTTTCTATTAGTATTTTTTTAAACTTTATCTATTCAAATATAGTAAAATATTTAGACTTTAACTTATTTAAATCACTTTTACTTCTACAATTTTAACAAATGTGTTTTAAAAATAATTTATATTTACTTATATTATAATTATTCATGTACAATTTTATAATATTGAAATAAAAAATAATACCTTTTATATATTTAATGTCATAAATTTTAAATAAAAATAAATTGATGTTTGTAATAAACCAACTTTTTTTAAAATTTCAAATTAGTTATTTATCTTATTGATATAACAGTTATATATCCTTTTAGAAAGTTTAATTATTTATATAAAATTGATTTGAAAGTGACTTACATTTATTATTCTTCTTAGAACTTATAAACGCACTTTAAATTATAATTATTATATAAGTAAAAAGGACGTAACATTGAATATTATAAAAGAATAAAATTATTTCATGTTTTTGATATTTAAATAAAAATAAAAACATGAATAATTTTGATTAGTGTTGATTCTTTATTTTAAGTGTGTTTGTTAAATATTTTAGTTATTAAAAAATTATTTTAACTATACAAATTTGATCTTCGTTCTAGTTATTTCACTTTAATTTTTAAATTATCATTTTTTATCCAAATATCTGAAGATTTTGATGAATTTAAGACATAAAATACTTGAGTTAAAAGTAAGAAATTTATATATATGTTTTTGGATTAAAAGAAGTGTAAAAAGAGGAAGAGAGATATATGAAAAATTAACTAAAGTTTTATAAGATGTGAAATTTAAATCTGATAATAAAGTAAATTTTATTTAATTACAAGGATTTGACTATTTTTAAACTGTGTATACGTAATTAAAAGAATAAAATGCAAAAAGGTATTTAAATTAATTATTTTGTAAAGTATGTTATGTTTTCATTAAATTGTCATCTTTTACAAAACAATAATATCATTATACAGCACAATTTTTTAAGAAATTAATATATGCATAATATTTTTCATTTTTCGTAAAAGTAACCATAACATTAATTAAAAAAAAAAATAAAAAAATTTTTTTATAAAATAATTATTTTTCAACTATAAAAAAAAAAAAATAATTAAAAATAAAAAAAAAATTTAATAAAAAAAGAAAAAAAAATTAAAAAAAAAAAATTAAAAAAGATAAAATAATAATAAGATAAAAAAAATTAAAAATTTTAAAAATTTAAATAAAAAATTAAAAAAAATAATAATTAAATTTAAAATTTTAAATAAAATTTTAATATTAAATATTTTTTTACTATATAATTTAGTTATTATCTTGTGCAGTCATCTTAATTGTTTATTTTTATGCATTAACAAATGTAATATTATGTGATTGTTAGATTTCTTATATTCACTATTAAATACCAGACAAATTTGAATTAAACTTAAAATGTAATTTTTAATACGAATACAAATTATTTAGTATTGATTTTATTATTTTATCCATTACCACAGCAGTGTCAAAATAATTAGAGATATCTAATATCATGTTGAGATGTTAAATCTCACTTCTTAATTATACTTTTAAACAAAAGAAGAGATAAAATAATAATTATATCACCTATTTAAAAAACTAATTAACAAAAAATTAATTAAAAATTACATAAAATTTAATCAAGCCAACAATATATAAAAATATAATGAATAGTTTTAATATATAAAAATTTATGATGAATAGTTTTTGTTTTATATATTTTGTGAGGGAAAGAGCAGGCTGATGATAGACACAGATTCCCTTAGAAGTTACATTGAATGACTTAGAAGATGTTACATAAAATATCAGCTTTTTGCAGCTTTTTTTATTATTATATTTTGATTTTTTAAAAACTGTGGAATGCAAGAAAAGAGAATTAGAGGTAATTATGATGGGATATGGTCAAAAGAGCTTTGGAAGTTCGGAAAATGGTTCCATAGAATCACTGACCGTCACAGTACATAATAACGGACTTTTGACCAGAATAGGAAATATTGAATAAGCTTTTGGAAATAGTAATCCCATTAATTACATACTTAAAATGCTAATGCTTGCAACCACCACATCAAAAATCATTAAAAATTTAATCAAAATCCTATGGTCGACGTCGCTTCTCCCCTACCCTACTTTCAATTAACTATTCTTCTGTCTTTTTCTATCCTATACATCTTATTCAAACAATTAAATAAAAATATTCATTACTAACGTTTCTTTATGTATATATATAAATGTCCCTTCTTTACTATTTTTTAATATTAATATTGTTTTCTTAAATAAAATAAAGAATATAAATATTAATTATTTTTAAAGACAAAATATTTCATTATTATTATCTGACTATTAAATAAAACATAATTAGAAAATAACATAAAAAATAAAATTATCTCTAGAATAATTTTTTATTTTGATTAATTTTCAATTATTTTTATCTGTAATTAATGTCATATTAAATTATTTATAGATTTTCATTTCCAAATTGTCTTAATCTTATCAGATAACTTTTACCCCGTCATGTTTTTAAGCTATTACGTATTTTTTCCTAAAGAGTTAGTTTTTAATTTCTTTTATATATTTATATTTATTTATTTTTAAAACATTTATTTAAACTATTATCCGGTTATAATATTTTTTTCACCTTTTTAAAACTATAATTTAAAATATAAATATTAATAAAGAAAGACTTTTTATATTACCCTTTTTTTAATCGTTACATAGATCAATATAAGGAAAGTATGATAATTAGTTAAAAATTAATTAAATAAAAAATTTTAACAATATTTTAATAGGAAACAAAAAAATTATATTCTAAATAAGAAAAGAATAAATTTGGTACTAAATTCAATATTATTTATTATAGAGTAAAATAATGATACTTATTATTTAATTTTTGGCTATATTAAAAATAAATATGTTATTTGAAATTAATATTATTGATTGGCTTAGTTACAATATTACCAAAAAGAAAAATTCAAATTCAACTACAAATCATATTTATGAATCAGATTAATACAATTGTTTTAGCATTTGAAATGATAAATGTATTAATATTATTAATTTTATAATCTTTATCATCTTTCATAAGGATAATAATTATTAAAATTTTAAAATAAATATAATGATAATATTACTAATTTTCTTCCAAAATAATAACAATAATATTAATTTGAGACAGTAAATTAATCTTTTCAAAGAGCCAGTTAATGTTTTAATAATGATTTTTAATAAAACTTTAATGATTATCTTTCAGGCAACACAAAATTTGCTGTACAGTACAAAACTTATCAAACATTTGAAATCCATATACTCTTATTTTGCTGGATTTTCTAGTTTTGGCTTAACCGTCATTCACCTTGGCCTTATATGATCTAAGATTCTCTGTCATGCCCAATTTCGTAACACTCAACCTTAACAACACATTTGACCACTCTAATTAAATTTTTTTATCATGAATAATGTGCCATAATCAAATAAATTATTTTAAATATTTTCTTAAATTTCATTTACATGCTTAAATTAATGAATCATTTTGAATAAATATCCAGTTAGATTCTCTAATAAAACTTTTCCACCCAAATCATATGCCATTAAATTTCATTAACTAACCCTTATTTTAGCCGTTATCAACACAGAATTTCGTTTCTTTCTAGTAACATGTCAGTCCAAAACCAGTTTAATTTTTTTTTTCGTAAAGAGAGTTTTTCAGTTTTCCCTTGCGTCCTGCGTGAGCAATGTAACCTGACGTGAGGAAAGCTAATTTAATAGATAAGATCATATTTTATTTATTATTAATGAATAAAGAAGAGAAGAAAAAAAAACATATGAGCTAATAAAACGACTTCCCTTCTTTTGCTATTGTTGTCTGTTCTCTTCTTTTAAGCCCTAAAAACATATAAAAAGCAGCGAAAAGAGAAAGAGGAACAGAAAAGAAAGAAACATAAAAAAGAGACAGAGTTTTATTTATTTATTTATTTTTCTTCTTGAAAGTGCTTTAGTTACTGATTGGGAGAGGAAAAAAAAAATAAATAGAGAGTATTTATTTTGGCGGAGGTTGGGAGAAATGTGACCAGTCACCACAGGTTTGAAGCCCCAAAGAAAAAAAAAAAAAAAAAAGAGGGTAGTGGTGTATAGTATATAGTGTGGTGTGTCCCTACTTGGCTTCTGCGATAAGAGGAAGTGTAGCAGCACCACACAAAGAAACCCACCAACACAGTTCTGCTCAAAACACAAAAACAAAACACAGTGAGAGAGAGAGAGAGAGTGAGAGAGTGAGAGAGTGTGAGAGTGTGAGAGAGAGTGTTTTTGTAATGGATAAAAGCTGTCATCCCTCTGCAGAGTCTACTAATACTAGTATAACCACAACCTCTGCTACCAACACCGCCACCAACACCAACACCAGGGATCAATATCTCAGGCACCTCAACAAGCTTTCCCAAAAGATCTCCAAACCCATCATTAAAAAACCCACCTTTGATCATCCTCACCCTCAGCCACCGCCACAGCCCCAGCCTCAGCCTCAGGCCCAACCTCAAAACCCAAACCCAAACCCGCAGGCCCAGCAGAACTTGCAGCATCAGCCACCTGTGTACAACATCAACAAGAACGAATTCAGGGATGTGGTTCAGAGACTCACCGGCTCGCCTGCGCACGACCGCATCTCAACGCCTCCTCCCATTCAACAGCCCAAGCCTCCCAGCTCGCGCCTCCAGCGGATTCGCCCTCCTCCCTTGCCGCAGATTACCAACCGCCCGCCTCCGCTCCTCAATCCCAACACCCTCCCCCGCCCTCAACTCCCCAACGTCAACTCTAACTCCGTCTCCTTCAACAACTTTTCCGTCTTCGCCAGACCCCCCGCGCCGTTATCTCCTCTCCCGCCCTTCCCCACAGTCCACGCGCCCGCTGAGTCCCCCATCTCCGCCTACATGCGCGATCTGCAGAATCTCGTCGGTTCAAACCCCAAACACTTCTCTGGCTTCTCCCCCGTGCCGCCCCAGCTTCACCCTCAGCAAGAACAACAGCAACAGCAGCAGCAGCAGCAGCAATCGCAGCACCAAGCCATGGTTCCTTTGCAAGCTTCGTTTCCGATGCCGTCTTCTCCTGTGCCGTTTGGGTGCTTGAATTCCCAGCTGGCGTCTTACCCTCTGCTTTCGCCGGGGCTTCTGTTTTCTCCAACTTCGGGACAGTTGGCGTTTCCGCCGCTTCCGCTTTCACCCACCGTGCCGGTTCCGAGCCCTCGATGGAGAGGGCTTTGAGAGGGTGAGGTATATTTGGTTACAGCCATGTTGAGTTAGCTCAGCTTTTAGGATTTTTTGTGGGTGGATGTCGTGTTACCTGTACATGGTGCTGGTGCTAGAGGGTGGGAATGGGGATTTATTCAATTCGTGGTTGTTGGACTTTAACTGGTCCGCTGCTGCTTAGTTTATTCTGTAAATGGGATATCAAAGACATCAAAAAGGGACAATTTTGCATTGGTGTTTTGGGGATGCAAAAGCAAATTAGATGTTATACAATTATAGTTGGATTATTAGTATTATTATTATTATTATTATTATGCTGCTTTTTTAATATCACTAAAATCTTTATTGCTTTCACTATTGTTTTTATCTTCTGTTAATTATTGTATATGTACTTACCATGTAGATTTTGTCATTTATTTCCTTTCTCATTGTGGCAAAAATCGTTTTATGGCTACTATTCTTTTCTGAGGGATGGTGGTTGACCATTTCCATTTCCTTGAAAACGTTTAAGTGGAAGAATCTTGATCTGTAACACAGCTTGTCATTTGGGTTCATGTTTCTGCTAATGGCAACATTCCATTCAGTTAGACAAAGGCTGAAATTATTCTTCTCAACCTTTTTATAGAATGGGCAAGTAGTTTTGCCTGCACGCATGCCTGATCAACGTTCTCTTTTAGCCTGCAACTTTATATCAGTTCATCTGCTTTGGAATGATCACATTCGTTTTTAATGTAGCTCAGGCTTTTGAATATGTTTTTAGTGCATTCTGCTGTGTATTTTTATCATTGGCTAATGCTTCACAATTTTGTTCTCTTGGTTAGCATTTTGAGACCTCATAGGCTTACGAGAGATTGATTGTGATTCTTTTATCATTTATATTCCGGATTGAAGTTTGTGGTGGTTCTTTAAACTTTCAAGTTAGTCCTTTTGGTTGGTTAAAATTTTATGTTGAAGCATTCTTAACCAGATGCTCATAGAAAAAGGCATAAGGAATTAGATTGTTCAGCACTAATGTCGTTCTGGTGTGATTTTTGTGGAATTGAAGATAAGTAGTTTTAAATTTGGGTAGCACCATACATAGAATATTATTATGTTATAGCACTCACAAGTTGAAGGATCAGGAATTAACTTTGTAGTCTGTTTCATTAATCCCTCCTGTAGAGGAAGTCATGTTTGATATCCTTCCTCACTAACTTTCTCAAATCTTTCCCATACAAGGGGGAAAATAGAAGAAGAGTTGGGGAAGGAGTTATAGCTAAAGTCTTAGGAAGAAGGAGAGTAAATTGATGTGTTTGCTATATAACTTGTTCCTAAAATTTTGTTTATCCAGCTGTGACAGAAGTGCATGGCTTTCCTGACACTGAGTAGATACATGATTGTGGTAAAGCTCACTAAATATCTGGTAGTTTTCTGAAGCGATTGATGCTAAGTATTGATTCCCTTAGTTTTGAAAGTGTTCCTCTCATTTGTGTTCAGATTCCCAAAGTTGAACTATACTGCTTTTGGCACAACTAGTCTCAGATTCCTTAGAGTGTTTCTTGCATTCATGGTGGATTAATGACTGAATTTTCGCCACACAATAACTAGAGAAAATAATGCCATGCAATCAGTGTGGACTCAATAAGTCAATTTTAATTTTCTTTCTCCAGTCCGGCAAGTACCTGAAGGTTGTTGTTTGGTTTGCAATTTGTCAAATGACACATCACATTTGTTTACACTGCTTTTTCTGTGCAGAGATTGATTCTTTTACTGATAAAAACACATGGTGGGTCTTCTGTGCTGGAGATGAACGAATCCTTTTGTAAGGAATGAGTTTTTGCAAATATTACTATCACAACAACAAAGCGTAGTAGTATTCTTTCTGGTATTTCAGCCTTGTGTAGCAATAAATAGCTCAGTTGTAAGCAAGAATTTGCTTATCTTTTTCATGTGAATGGATTTATATTTGTAAAGATAAGTGTTAAACGCCATTATGGCAGGGGTCATGATATGCTTGAACTCAGATATTTTTCTTCAAAATAATACTTAAATAAAGTCATTTTTGTTATGTTGTTCTCTATGGATGAAGCTGCCACCTTATACCGTGATAAATCTGTCACGCAAACTTCAGAATCCGTCACCTTATAATTTTCTGACTTTTATTTAAAATATTCAATTAGAAAAGAATATTATAAGCCTTGAAAGAAAGACACCTACATTAATGTACAGTTTTTTGAGATATTCAAATTACTTCGACATATTTGAGCTGCCAACCCGAATATTTGTACCTCAACCATTTTGTACATCAAGTGAGTCTCAAAATATTCTATTGATGAGAAAGTATTTTCTATTATGGATTAAAATATGGTTATATAAATGTATTTATAAAGTACCATAGATTAACTCTAATATATATATATATATATATATATATATATATATATATATATATATATATATATATATATATATATATATATATTTATATATATATATATATATTTGTTTTTTAATGTTTATGAATTTTTTACGTTATATTTTTTTATTCTTTGATAATATTTTCTCATTTTTCTCCTAAATCAAAACTCTTTTTTTGTCCCTTCACACCCATACTACTATATAACACTGTATTAAAGTTTGAGTAGACCTAAAAATAAACTTTGATCTTATTTTTAAGAGAACATTTTCTATCAATATTATGGTTGTATTTTTCATATCACTTTTGCATAGTAAATTTCAACATACATTCATATTTCTTCACTGATGTAACAGATAAGACTGACCCAATAAGAACCATGAACCATGAATTTCGCTGAAAACTTTTAGTACATTCCTTTTTCTTTTTTTTCCCTTTATTGCCAAAACATTAATTAATGCTATTTGCATGTAAGTGACTTAATATCTTCAGAAAAATAATTTGTTTACATAATTATTTTTATTTTTAAGTAACAAGAAAACAATTTCTTTTAAGGATGAAATATTATATTGAAGTGATAATAAATATAAATAAATTTTAGAATAAAGTAATAATATATTAAGTGGTATAACAATTGTATATAATAATAAAAGTTTCAAAATATCATAACTCTTGTTTTAATAGAACTTGTTTACTTTAATATATATTGTCTTTACTTTCATTAGTAAAGTTTTTGCATTAAGGTATAAGGTATTTAAATGTATTTTTCAGGTACTATTACTTTAAATTTTTAATATAATTTGTAATTTTACACTATCTTTGTACATTACACATTTATATATATTCTTGTATTTTGTATTTATTAATTAAAATATTTATGATTGTATATTTAAGTATAATAGAAATAAAAATATTTTTTTAATATTTGTACATACATGAATAGAAAGTTTAAATTTGTAATAGAAAGTATTGTTTATTGGGACATTTATGAGTAGGTGGTGACGTGATCTTGACATTAAAGTTTTCTAGGTTTAATTTAGGAGATTCGTGTTGGAGCTAGGAAAAAATGGTGATAAGTTAGTCTACTCTAGTGTTTGAGATATGGATATATTTGTGTTTATGGTTTATATTTTTCATATAAGTTTGCTATGGATACTAATATAATTATGAAGTAAGAACTTGTATAATGACAAGTACTTGGTTTTAGATTACGAATAAAACAGTCAATAGATGATAGACAATTGCATCTTGCACTGAATTAACTAATGCAACAAACTTCACATAATAATCATGGACTATGTCAATTTGTGCCAAATTAAACAAATTATTACATGGGTATTATAGAGGGTCCAAATTTAATTTCAAAAGGTTGGGAAAAATCTATTGATGACTGAAATGGTTACCTTAATTGAAACCACTGCACAACTTCTTGTTAATCTTTATTCATTAGAATCATAACAGTAATTAAAAATTGTCCAATCTTAAAAGATCTATTAATAACATTTGTATTATAAAAAACATGAAAATTCAAATTTCATATTTTACACCTGAAACAATTGATGTTGAATCATGTTGTTCTGAAGTTTTCAAACCGTTTTAAAAATTCATATTTCAAGATTTGTTAACTTCTAAAAAGTCAACAGAAATCTTTTATACACTTTTTTGACCATAAAATAATGAAAACATCAATTAACAATATTTATAAAATTATAAGGAAATGGTTGAAAAACCAATTATGTAAATAATAACTTAGAGTAAAAATATTATTACTGTATAAATGTTATATAATAGAATGTTAAGTATCTTTAAATCTAACTGTAGAAGTGTTATGCAATTTGTTTTTCCTACTGATAATTTAAAATGTTTAATTATATTTTGATTGATGTGTTACTCTGTAACTGAAGAATCAGAAAGGAAATAAGAGGGATGGTGAGGAATACTAAGATAACAGGCTGGAAATTGGTTCAGCCCAGTTAGAGCTGGTCTAAGATCTTCCACAGCAATCCATTAAAAGCCAGGTGGCATTTCCAAATCCTTTTCTTACTTGTCAATCATACATCATCATGATGGGCTGTTCAGAAAGAAAATCAATTGAGACGAAACCTTTTTCGTGGAATCAGTTAGCATGATCTCTTCCTTCATAAAAAGCTGTTCTCCATCTTTAATTTTATGAGTCCTGATAACACATTCATATGTATATGTAAACCAGTACTACTTTCACATCAAAAGAAAGGAGAAGGCTGTATATTGTAACTTCTATGAATGAAATAAAATGATTTCCACACATGCATTTAGCTTTCATTATTTTTCATTTCTCAACAAAGCATTTTATTATTAATTTTATTTCTCTAGGTCATTTTATATTTATTCATCATACTTTTCTCCTTTTCATCAATCAAAATCTCACTTTTTCTAAGACATTTATTAACTAAAATTTATTTAAGTTAAAAAAAAAGGTTTAATATGACATCTGAAAATCCATGATTTCAACCAATTCTAATAAAAAAGTTAATAGGAACCATTACTACTTATTTTTATTTGTTAAGTTTGAGGCACCAACTAAACATTAAATGATTCAATTTTGATAAAAATAACAATTACACAACTTCTATGTTATGAATCTTACTGTTTTGTAATATTTCATAAACACTAAAAAAAGATCAAAGTTTAGAAAACATTGCTAGACTTGTTAAAAGAAATACAAATACCATAATTAGAAATTAAAAATTCAACTCACAAATATAAATGCTCAAAAATACTGGCAGAAGTTCTTTAGTGATCTCGAACAGACCTTCTATTTCAGAGAATGAAATGTACAATCCTCAGAATAATTAAACGTACAAAACCATAAACCAATTCCAACAAAACAACAAGTTTACTAGATAGAAGAGAATCTTAAAA